ATATATATATATGTATAATAAAGTACTTAGTGTTAAAACATGCAATAAAATTTCCTAAGAATTTCCTCTGTTCAAGATATGTTTGTTCAAAATTCCAAATAAGATTAGAAAACTTTTTAATGCTACTTTGAAATAAATTAGACTTACTATTACTAATCCAAAATAAACTATATATTGAATATTCGTAAAAAGCAGGAATTCTATGAGACTGTAACATTTTCTACAATAAAATAAGAAAAAAAACATCACAGTATAGAGTTATTTCTATACTATTCCACATTTTATTTTTTATTGTTATTTTTTCATAAAACTTGATGTATGTCATCAACTTGATGTATTATTAACTGACTGTCAATATTTTGCATTTTTTTGCATCAAGAAGAACCAATTAAAGAAACAATATTTTCAAAAAACGACACGATTAAAATTTAAATTGAAAAGTACAATTTCAAAAATTTTCCCATATCTAGATAGATTTTCAAGAGATCTCAAAATTCTAGAATTTGTTCAGGTAATAAACTGTACTGTACAAGACTTAAATAAAATCAAACTTACTTCTGGCTCTTGTAAAAACCATCTGTAACATGCTACAGCTGATGGGTAAGTCTTCCAGGTATCTTTTAATAATTTAGGTCTTAACATTAGCAACAAGTTGCGCAAATTCTCATTCTCTGACAAAAATTGTGAGATGCTTTGGCAGGCGTACAGGTCACAGAAAGTAGTGAGTAATTCTTTGGAAATAGAAACACACTCGACTGTGTTCCAAATATTCTTTTTGTTATGTTCTCCAATGAGCAACAGTAGATTCATACCAAATGCTCTAACTATCCCAGTGGCATTGCTCAGCTGGAAGTGCTTCTCCCTGGAACTGCTAGAAATATGTTGCAGCATAGACCTGACATTACGCAAGTTTCTTTCTACAACAAGCCTATACTCTCTGAAGTCTTTCTCCTCACATGGACGCTCTGTCCCGATTGTTCTTTGCGGTACAAAACTCCTCTGAATCAAATCCACGCATGGTGTCCACGAGGAATTATCCTCGAAGAAATCACCCCTAATTTTTAGAGCCTCTAGCTCTTTCAGCAGGTTGTCCATTTTAATTGTATATCAATATCAATCGAATGATACGTCCTTTTGTAATCTGCTTCCGTAATAAGTCAGTCTTTCTACGAGTGTTTTAATTGAATATTACAATGCGATATTGTGAGTCACATTTTTATGAGAACAATTTACTGTCTTGGAGAGCATTCTGCCGAGTAGGACTTAAAATTCTCGGGCTGCTGTTAATGGCCAAGTTGGTTGACCTGCGAACAATCGTAGGTGGACCATTTTAACAAATCTCATAACGATCGGATTTCCGCGAGAACAATCCGTTGACCGAGGAAATCACGTCGATCTCGAGACGTGAGTCGCTTCTGCGTATCCGTTGTCAGAAGAATCGTACTTACCGAGACTGCACTTTTGCAACCGGCTGTTTGGACGTCCGTCGGTC